TGAACTTGCTGTAAAATCACCCACAACAATAGAAGAGAAGATCTACTAATCCAGATGCATCGCTCAACTGAGCATAACACAAGCAGTACAAAGGATGGAATGAGTGAGATGATCTGTGTTCAAGACAGATTTCCCAGTAAATTTCAACACAAGGAGTAATCTCCATTTTCATCTGCCAATCAGCACTATACAATAGCCAGAGTACTGGAATTCAATTCCAAACAATACAAACCAGACACTACTCTGAACTCATGAAGTACTCCTCTGGGGCATAAAATTTTAGTCCAATAGCCTGCAATCACCCACATTGAAAATAAAATTTCAACTACTGAGTTTAAACTAGCTGAAGACATTTCTTTTAACCATTAGTTTGCTGTGAAACTATAACAATAGACAGAGTTAACCAATTAAGAGCTGCAAGCTTAATGGAGAGTGAATTGAAGGCAGAAATGACTATATAGGGCTAGTTTCATTTGATTTTTGTTTTGACGATTCAAGTAGATTGCATTTAGAATACTAGTCTCTACCTTATTATATGGGCTCGCAAATTAAGATTAAGCCGAAGCACCAATTGAATCATAGACAGAATTGTAGCATGAGCAGTAGATTGAAAAAACTATAAACTGGAGCCCAGCGCTGTATAGTTCTTTGTAATTAATTATAGTGACAAACCTGTGCAAATTTTATGTCAGCGTCACTGTGATCATTGGGTCTTCCAGCCGCATCACCAACATAAAAGGATCTACATTGAAGAAAAAAGGATTCCACTACCTCAACTTTTTGATGGGTTAAACTGTTTCATGTCATTAAAATAAATTGAAAGAACACAATTAGGGACATGGGGATGGAAAAAAGGAAAGAGAGGGATCGGGTTTCTCTCGCTTTTGGCAGACCCGATCTTTGTGTATAGGAGTTATTGGAAAGGGAAAAAAGGAAAAGGAAAAGAAAAAGAAAATAAAGTCCAGGATCCTAGACTAGACAATGCAATGAACCAGTTGAAAAGAAGAATAACCTATCCATGTCAATTGGGAGACCAGAATTAAACTGTTTCTCCATAATTTTCCACATCCCAGGTTTTGGTTTGCGAAAGGGATCCTCTGGTTGCCCAGAACTAAGTCCACAGGCAATGAAAACCTGCATATTGTGTAACTGTCAGCTGACCTCCACTAGAGTTCAGTTAGACAAGCAATGATTACTTCATCCTATATCGCAGAAACTTGCAACATTCTCATTAAAATTGACTCCTTTCTGCAAACAGAAATATTGAAATATCCAGCAGCAAACTTATGCAAAAAAAATTGGAACTACAATTATTTTGATTCGCAGGGGAAGTAAGAACACAATTTCCCATGATACAGCAAATGTATCATCATAGGTAACTAGATCCTCAAAAATACTTAGTGACTGTTCCTCACAGATGATTAACTACTGCTTCTCTTTCACAAAACCCTTGTGAGAACCAATGTTAACACAGGCAACAAATTTAAGAAAAGTTCAATCATGTCTGAACTGAAAACACCACAGCAAGACAGCGGCCTATTCAGAATTCAGGTAACTGGTCTAATAATCTGCTAAAATGAGCTTTATTTGAGATGCTCTGATACTCTGGTACTAAAGACAAAAGGAAGAAAGGCCACAGAGCAATAAAAACCCCGGTAATCCATCATTTTTTGCTTCAATAAAGCATTAGATTATTGATATACAAAACACCTAGACGAATAAATTCTACCTGGAAATTTACTGCTAGCCTCATTGGTTCAGTAAAAAATTGTTATTTAGAGGCTAATGAAATCCACAACCTAGATGCAAGTGGTAACACCAATCATTTAATAATCTGAAGTTCGCTTATCAATTAATTTTTTAATGTCAAATACAGTCATACACACTCCAGAAGGTTTAGACATTGTCCCATACAATCTCAACATAGCAGTGGTATGGTAAGCAGAGATTTGGAGGAATAAAGAATTTTTTTCAATGCAATGCGAATTTTTTCCTTATACAATACAGCAGAGAAATTAGCTTGTAGATCAAACACCAGGGAAGTAAAGTCATTGATGTCATAATACGGTATAAAATTCCATGCTAAAAGACGAGAAGAAAGGCAAAAGGAAGCATTCTAAAATATTTTCAAAAGGCTTTCCAACGTCCACACCGATATAGATTTCTTCCCACATATTGATAAATTAATAAAACTTCAAATCTTTATAGTCACAATCATTTCATCGTTAACACTGCATGGGTGAACACGTCATCTTCCACAAAGGATTGACATAATGTACTTTGATAAGTGAAACAGGTATTTTCTTATGCAAGAGGAGGCATAGAACAGAGCTGCAGATATAGAGCAAATAAGCCAAACAAACCTGAATGGGGACTTTTACGAGCTTAATGAAATTTTCAAGTCGTCCAATTTTTGAATCTACAGCAGCCTGTCTCTTATTCTTCCAGCGCTCAATATTGGATTCATTAGTGAAGATCACCTATATTATGAAAAAATTGAGACGGAATTAAAAGAGAGAAAACGATAGTTACAGTACAAACATCAGCATTTCAGTCAACATGTCATTCAATGACCAAGCTAAAACCACTATATTTCATTGTTAATACTAAAAGAACATGGAGCTCAAAAGGAAACTGAAGAAACCAGTTTGTAGTCGTCATTATATAAACTCTTGAGCTTCTCTGGTATGGAAGGATACATGAGGGACCACGCATCTGCACCTACTCTAAAAATAAAAATACAATTATCATTAAATTCCTTCCTACAATTCATTGCTCCAAAACAAGCTAAATATATCTAATAAGTTCAGATATTAGCATATATTTAGCTGTAGGTGAACAGATAGATATGGTGCATCAAAAATATATTTTATTACAATCAAAAATTGATGAACTACACGTACAAAATAGCTAAAACAAAAAGACACTTGGACACTTTCTGCACTTTTACATTATTCTCAGTTAAAAAGTCAGCAGTGAGAGATAACTAATATTCTCCACAGAAAGAGAACTACAAAAAATAGATATTTCATTTGTTGAAGTATTCTATTGCAGGTTTAGAACTAGCAAGTGAATGCTGTTTGAGACATCACCACAGCACTACTTCACAGCAATTTGGCATAGGCCAAGATAATATAGATATACAAATAAAATAAATAAATACTTCAAAGACACAATACCACATTCTTACAAAAGTTTGCATGCTTTACAGAGTTTCAGTTTCCACGTACTCACTATTAACATTGTGGGAATACTAAGAAGCAGTTCAAGCTAACACAAGAGTGCCTTTAACACTGTAAAAAATAATACCTTTTAACAGATGTCTTCGCAAGACACCCATCAAAATCAAATGCTGCAATTTTACTTGAATCATGAAGACCATCATCCTTCCAAAAATTTAAAAATTAAATTAGAATTCAGACACTGTTTGGATGACAGAAAAAAAAAAAGTTCATGAAAACATAGTATCGCATACAAATGTAAAATGTGGGAGCCTGTGCAAATTCTTAAAAATCGATAAAATAAATCAAAAATGGCAGTGGAAAGAATAACTGAAAAACCAAGTAAAACATAACGCTGTTAGCCTGTTAGCGTTGAAGATAAAAAGAACAAGGTGCCAGATTGATACAATGTTCTATTCCTTAAAGTGTCATGGCAAGCATTCATACCAAAAAATTCTAGAGAGAAAAAGAATAAAAATTGCAATTATTTGTTGCATTTTGGGTTAAGAGCACACCCCATAAGGTTCATCCTTGCCCATATACAAGGTAAAGCCAGTGATATAAACAGCCATTAATAACTAATGCATACTCATCCTTACAAAAAAAAAATATAAACTACCATCAGTCAATGGCAAATACTCACTCGTTCAAGAAATATAATAGTCTGGAAAGCCTTCCATTTAGGCAACAATATAGCGTCCTGAAATTAGAAAATTATATTCTTTCATGGAGAGCTATCTCAAAAACCAGAAAAATATATTCAGAGAATAAAAGAGTAAAAATAATAAAACCATTGTAAGGATTCTTACCACGTGCAATCCTCTTAACAAGTGATAATGGAAGAGAAAGAGATTGATTAAAGACTGTACATCTGTACCTTGTACTTCTCCTTGATATCAGAAGCAGAGAAGGATATCTCCAACTCTCCTCCTTCACTAGGTGTAGACAACTACAGAAATTTTCGGTGCAATGAAAGGATTAGAAATATGCTTATAAATCCAACTTCACTGTAATTCCACGCAAAGAAGTTATAATGTGCCACGTGATATTGGAAGTGTTATAGAACTCAGGAGTCAATCATAAAACACCTATGAAAGCAACTACCAGTTATTAGTTCCACTGTGATGGGCTCATGAATCAATAATGCAAGTGATAGGAATAGAAATTAATGTCAATTTGAAAATATAGAAATGCAAAAATGAAGTAGGTCAGTCAAATACTCGATCCCCTAATCTTATTATTAGAATCTCACAATGCTTGGGAAAATCTAAATGATCCACTTAATAAGGTGAGGGCAAACATCACCTAATAAACCGGTTTTATTAGGTGGAGTNCTTATAATGAGTTAAAGTAACATAATGAAAACAAAATGTTTTTAACAGTCATTGAATTGTCAATACTGTAGCCATGTTATGGTAATAACAATGCACAACTTCTGGAAAAAACTATCCATTATAATATTGTTCAGATATCATTCAAATCTTGCAAATTTTATGCAAAGAACTTGGTTGATGAAATCTATACATATTCATGAAAACTAATAATCTGCAAACTTTCAATGTAATAATCTTAAAACTCCAAAAACAAATAGTTAAATGTCTAGGTGCGCGAGTGTGGAATAGTTTCTCAGCACAAAACATAGACAACTGACAAAATACAGAAGGAATAAATAATTAGGCAAAAGTGATACAGAAACATGTCGAGCAAATCAACATATTAGAAGTACATATACATAATCTTCTGTTAAACAAAAGGAGATATGTCCACAAGGCAGAGTAAATCAAATTTTATAATTAATATGTCAGCAATTTGATTTTATATTGGATATTATGTGCATTACCCATACCTTTTGTTTCTTTACGTTCCCTTGCTTTTGCTCATTAGATTCCACAACATCTGTATGATTAATCTATGACATGTGGAAACAATAGGAATTATCATGGATTATTTGAGTTAGAATTAGAACCAAAGGAGAGGTAAATCAAGATTATCTACCTTTAGGCCTTTTGCACCTCTTTTCACACTTCCGTCAGCTGCATCTTTCTTTTCATCCGATATCTAAAACCTTAGAATGTCACTCAATTAGATGCTGATATAACACTAACAATAAGCAAATGAACTACTGCTATTCGGGATTTACCATTGAACTTGAAATGGATTGATAATCACAGAAGGAAGAAGAAACTCATTAACATAGCATTGCATCATATAAATGCTCTCACAATGTATAAATGTAACGGTGGAAATTATGTATCCAAATGAGAGTTGGGCTTCTTTTTCTTTTTTAACACTTGATCAATCCAAATACAAAATAAAAATTAAACTGTTTAACATGTGACAGTGTGCGTGTGCACACAAAGTTGAAGGAGTCATTCAGCTCAGTGCTATCTAAACCAGATAAACTATTATCTAACTAATCTTCAGCCAAGTTATATAGTAAAAAATAATACAGCATCTGAAGCCATATTTACCAATCTAAATATTATACAAGCATGCCAAGTTACTTTTGTATATGAAGGTTCTGTAAGTAAGAAGTTAGCAGTCTTTATAGTATATTTTAGCTAAGGATCTTCATTCATTTTAAGATCAATAAATTTCAATGTATCAAATCGTATGCACTTTAAATGTGTGTTTGTGTCACTTATTGCATGTGTATGTTTGGTATGTTGTACTAACTTATGTATATCTTTCTATAGCCAATCACAAGCTGAAAGTTACTGCAAAGCATTAAAAGCTACAGAACGCAACATATCCACCAAATATGCATAGAAGAGACACACCCAAGGAAAGCATCCTACAGGAAGATTTAGTCACCCACCCATCTGCATATGGATAAATTAATCGACCAGAGTCAAGAACAGAGAGTAGCATATATTTAACTCACTGCAACTTTTGTAAACCAGCAGAAGAAACCAAGTCAAAGAACTGTTCATCCTCCACTGGTTACTAATTCAGTAATACGTCCAATTGATTACAGCAAATCAAGCAGTTTACGGATTTCATAATGATTATTCACAAGAAGTCCTTTTCTCTACAACTGTCATACCTTCATTGAAGTTTGAGCTCCTTCATTCGCTAACTTCTTTAAAGCCTCTTGATCACTGGTCTGCATTTCCATACTAGATAAAATGAAGGACAAAAGGAGCAAAAACCTCACTAGTGGCAATAATGTAACGAAATTAGAACCTTTCCCCACCCAAAAAAAAAAAAGAAAAAAAAAGAAAGAAACTACAAGATAAAATTCTTCAAAACCCACCTTTTCAGCTTTAGGCGTGCTCCCAGATTAAAAGGGACAAAAAGGGAAAAATAAATAAAATAAAAAATATGAAAAGCTCCCTAAGAATTACCCATGCAACGACAAGGCTAACTTCGTGTGAGGAAAATATAGTTCCCAACCAAAAAAATTAGAAATGTTTACCCTGAGTGATGAGAAACCTGTGATGGCTTCAGGGGAGGAAATGACAGTAGAATCAGTATATGGAAAGCAATTGAAGTGATGCCACTTGGTCATATCAAACCCTCGGGGATCTTTGCTGACCAATCCTAGCCTCAGCGAACTGGAACCGATGCTTTTCGAGCATTTTTTACACGTAGACCGGCCTGATTTCGCATACTCCGCCACGATTTTAACGGAAGCTGACGACATTGCTGCTGAAGCAGTGAATAGAAATAAGCAAGTAGTAATATGGCTTAGGGTTTTTCCGTATAAATTGAGATCAAGTGCTGCAGTAGGGTTTAAAATTCTGGGGTTCTGGAACTGGGGGATTTTAGAGGGAAAAATTGGAGAGATTAGCATTGGATTTCGAAGAGCGCTTCGATGGACATGCCGACATGGGGTATATTAGGATTGGACATTATAATTTTTGGAACATTATTATTTGTTCTATCAAAAATGTGTAGCAATGTTTTTTTAAAATTTACGTATAATATTATTTTATTATGAAATGTGTTGTCGACAAGATAATAGAGAAAAATATATTATAATTTTAATGAGGTCAAACGGGAGCTCAGAACCCCTTTGACTCCATTATTTTATATTGTAATGAGAGAAATAGTACATTTTTTGAGAATGTACGATTAAAAATTTTTTTTGATTCACGTGTAATATTATTTTATTCGAAAATGTGTGATTGACAATAAGGTGGCGTAATGTGGGCCAAATGAGGGCTTAATAACTAATTTCAACCACACATTTTATGGTGCTCATAATTTTTCAATCATAAACTTCATCAACTTTTATTAAAATTTTGATTTTAAAGCCCTGTTTGGTACACATTATTTTTTTCATTCTCATTCTTCTACTCATTTTCAACCACACATTCTTCAATAAAATAATATTTTTCATTCCATCAATAACTTTTCCTTTATTTTTAAGCACACATTCTCGATGAATCTACTATTCAATAATACATTCTTTCAAAAGAATGTGTCTCAAACACACTCTTAACTCCACCAAACAAGGGGTTGAATGTAATATCACATGATTGAATTCATTTGGACGGATGCTTTAATATCACTTATGCTATCTTTCAAACAAACGAGGGAGGAAAATAATTCTATATTTATGGGACGACAATTGCTTACTTCTTTTCCATGTGTTTTTCTCTCAATTGTAAAATTTTCGGTGCCAATAGCTATGTGATATGAAAAGAATTTTATGGAGGAAGAAGGATCGCCAAACGAGTGAAGAAAAAATATGAACTACATGTCACTTGAACCATTTGGATTTTGGTACGGTCGGGATAAATAAAGAAAGCGATACCTTATTCTTAATTGTTTTAATTTTTAATTTATTATTATTTTTTTAACTTTGTGAAATTGAAACATGAGCATGACCATATCTTTCATATACGTTAAAAGGTCTTTTTAACGGTTAAATTAATGGATTCGAGTAGACAGTGACCATGTTTGCACGATTTTAAACGCAAGAGACCTAAATGCCATATTTGGTTAGTGGAGGACTCAGTTATCATATTCAATAAAGATGTTGGACTTCTTTTGTTATTTACCCAATCTTCTAACATTTCCTCCCCTCTTTTAAAAAACCTAACAAATGTTACAGCTTGAAAACTCTTCTATGGCAGCTTGAAAACCCTTCTATGGCTATCGATCTCATAGATCCTCATTATGAACAAATTCTCAGAGATGAGGTAACTTATCTCCATTCTCTCTGGCACCAGGGCCCACCTAGACGGTCCGCCGTCTCTTCCGCTGCCGCTGCCGCCCTGGACAGCCTTCAGCCTTCCAACACCACACAATTCAAGAAAGAGAAAAAACCCAGACGCAGAAGAGGCCGAAAAAACAAACAGAAGGGCAACAGCCCTAACCCAGAGTCAAAACCTTCCGCTGGGACCGAATGGCCATGCGCCACACCTCCAGCACCCGCCGCCGTCTGGGTTCCTTTCGAAACACCTTCCAATCAAACACATAATTTAATTTCCCCCGAGGCAAAGGAAATATTCTTGGCTAAACAAGCCCAGCAGAAGGCTTTGGGGGCTGCAACTGAATTTATCAGAAACAGATATACGGACGACGATGGTGATGTCATTGATAGCAGCGACGAGGATGATGATTTGCTGGGGGATGATGGTGGGCCTGTTGAGTATAGCTTTTTCGTCAAGTTGTATATGGAGGACGTTGAGTTGAGGGAGTATTACATGAAGAATTATGCGAATGGCGAATTCAGTTGTTTGGTGTGTGGCGCAGTAGGCGGCAAGAAGACTTACAAGAAGTTTAAGAATTGTGTTGCGCTTGTGCAGCATTCGATCACTGTAGCTAGGATAAAGAAGCGCGCCCACAGGGCCTATTCTCAGGCCATTTGCAAGATTCTTGGTTGGGACATTGATAGACTTCCTTCCATTGTTTCTTCCTTGGCGGATAAATCAGTTGTAGTGCAGGTACATTAGGCTTCCTATAGATGATGGCATTTTGAAATAGTTGTGAAGTTGTTTCATTCGAATAAATTACTTTGAACCTTTGCAGGGGAATTTTAGTAAGGCTGACAATAGTGCGACTGTCCTTGCCAACAACGTCGAAATTGTCCCAGGGGGAGGATCTATAGCCCCTGAACCTTTTTCCGATGATGGCCAACAAAACATGGTATGTAAAGTTGGAGGCTTTTTAGACTATTTTGAAGTGTGTGCTGTATTTGCATTCTGACTTGTTACTGTATTTCAAGAGGGTTATGGTCCGTATGAGTGAGTATATGTGCAGTATTTGACCAATTTTCTATCTGTGTCAGAATTCTTTGACATCTCCCGATGCCAACGAAAAGGAAGATCTTGGCGAGGTGGTTGCTGATAAAGTGGATGAGCCTGTGGAAGATCTTGACAGGGTAGTTGCAAATAATGTTGATAAGCCTGCAGAGGGGGCTACAAAGGTGAGATTCTTAATCCTTTTCCTGTTTCATCTATTTATGTTTTATCTGAGGTAGTTTGTTTTTCCTGTTCTTTAGCAATGTTTTCTGGCGTTCAATGGTTATGGAGCTTATTATTTAATAACGTTCCTTTTTAAAGGACCCTAGCGGAAAATCTGCATTATACTGAGGATTACTCTTGAATCATTTCATCCAATGAACTCGGTTTGCTGTTTTCTAAGAACGTCCTAATCACGTGAAAGGAGTCATTAACAATAGCTAGCGGTGCCTATGAATGTAAAGATAGATGTTAAGAACTACGGACTGAATATAATTGAGAAAGAAACAGGGGAAAGTTGGTATAACTTTTCTGTCTATGAATAACAAAGAGAGATCCTATTTATAGTGTCAAACATCCTATACTGATTGCACAATCAAAGTATTATGGGAGTAATCAAAAGAAATCAGAAAAATATAGTAGTGAAATACATAATGATATTCTACTATATTTTTGGTAAATTTGCACAAATCGTCCACAACCTAAGGGGTATGGGCGAAACCGGTCCAATTCTTTTTCGTCTTTGGCACCGTCCTCTTCAACCTATGGTTTTGGTGCAATAATAGTCCTTTCGGTAGATTTTGCCTGTGCACCTTAAATACACAATTTTCGAAGGGTCAAATAGCCTAGACACTCGGCATTCAATATGTCATTTCATTTGAAAAATAATAATAATAAAAAAA